CTTTTGTCGGCTTTCGTTATGCCTAGATTCTTATTAGATAGATATCTAGAAATCCTACTAATATGACAAGATGGAATTATATGGTAAAAATGAGGGATCACATTCAGTTCAATACAATTACTTATCTCTTCAGTTAATCTATCAGATAAGCTAATTAATTCAACAAGTATTTCCAGAGAACTCTTTACCTCATTTGGAAGAGAACATGAGATTACACAAAACTAACTCTCCACAGCGTACAAACCATCAAGCATCTGAGACCAAGTAAGTTCAGGATATTTGAGATTAGTCCCCTTCAGAGTACAATTCAAAATGGTATACTATGACTCCGAATGAATACATTTGCGACAATCTGTAATGTGTTCAGGCTTCCAGGACCGGGTATGTGCTCGTCTTTGTGTCTGTGGGAATTGAATGCATGATTGTGTATAAGTAAATGTGCATAACCGACTGCACTGAATATCTGTCAGCGGTCATTATGACAACCTCGCGATATCTGGACGCCCTAAAGACGGAGGGCTGGCAAAATGTATGCGAAAGGTACTCACGCAGACCGACCAGTAGAGTGAGAAAACTGACGAATACGGCCCAAACGTAGAGCATCAACTGGATCCGCCAGCGGACAAGGGAGAATAGGCTTTCATTCAGAGAAGTTGGGCCCGTTGTAGGCGAGAAAGTTGTTTGGCCATCATTGGGTTCGAGTAGACCGGCTAAACTGGGCACAATCAAAGGGGGAATACAGAAGCCGAATGCGACGCCCAGCTGAAGTCGCATGCAGATGCAAAAGAACAAAAAAAATGTGTTTACTGATAGAAAATTTACGGCACCAAGCTGGCAGAATGAGTCTGATGATGGCGAAAATATAACAACAAAACGAGTTAATATTCGTTTAGCACATGCAGGGCCAAGGAATTGTGTAATAAATATTGCAAAAGAAACGCTTCTAAACAAGGCCTAAAAAGGATAGCTAAAAATGGACACTGGAATGGTACGACATGAGTAACTAACCGAAGTATAACGCAATAGAACAAGAAAAGCTATAGACTCCAATAAATTAAAAAGAATAATATTAGTGGGTTGACCTCGTTGCCGCAACTTGGTCTTGTTGTCAGGA